GCCAAAGATGCCGGTGCTGGTGGTTGGGCTGATGCCTATGGTATTGGTCATTCATGAGGTTTTGGTGCTTTTTGCCCTGATCCAATCCCTGCGTGCCCCAGCCAATTCCCTCCAAACTTTGACCCCATGGCTGACCCTTTCTCTCAGCCTTGGGCCGTTTTGACCCCAAATCTCATCTCTTGACCCCAAATCTCATCTCTTGGCCCCAAGAGGGGGCGGCGAGGCTGGAGAGGGGCTGGGAACACAAAAACCCCGAGAGGAAGCCCTGAGGGAGCTGGGGGTGCTCCCCTGGGGAAGCGGAGACTCCGGGGTGCCCTCGTCACCCCCTGGGCCCCCCCAAAAGGTGCCTGTGCCCCCCGGGGGCTGGGCTCCTTCTCCAGGCCCCGACAGAACCCGAGCACGCAGCCTGCCGCTGCGCCACGGAAACACGGGCTGGAGAGCGGGAAAGAGTTCTGTGCGGAAAAAGGGACAAAGTTCTGGAATGTTCTGCCCGGGGAGGCGCTGCAGTCACCGTCCCTGGGGGCGTTTAACAAAGCCTGGGGGCGGCTCTGGGGGCCGGCGTTGGGGGTTGGGGCTGGGCTGGGCTCGGTGGGCCTGGGGGTCCCGTCCAACCCAGTGAATTCAGTGAATTATGTGAATTTTGTAAATTCAGTGAATTTTGTGAATTCTGTGAATTGTGTAAATTCTGTGAATTCTGTAAATTCAGTGAATCTTGTGAATTCTGTGAAATCTGTGAATTCTGTAAATTCTGTGAATTCTGTGAATTCTGTGAGTTTTGTGAATTCAGTGAATTCTGTGAACTCTGTGTATTGTGTAAATTCTGTGAATTCTGTGAATCCTGTGAATTTTGTGAGTTTGGTGAATCCTGTGAATTCAGTGAATTCTGTGAATTCTGTGAATCCTGTGAATTCTGCGAATTCTATGAATTCTGTGAAATCTGTGAATTTTGTTAATTCAGTGAATTTTGTGAATTCTGTGAATTCTGTGAACTCTGAGAATTCAGTGAGTTTTGTGAATTCTGTGAACTCAGTGAATTATGTGAATTTTGTTAATTCAGTGAATTTTGTGAATTCTGAGAATCCTGTGGATTCTCTGAGTTTTGTTAATTCAGTGAAATCTGTGAATTCCGTGAAATTTGTGAACTCTGTGAATTTTGTGAATCCTGTAAATTCAGTGAATTCTGTGAAATTTGTGAACTCTGAGGATTCTGTGAATTTTGTTAATTCAGTGAATTTTGTGCATTCTGTGAACTCTGAATTCTGTGAATCCTGTGAATTTTGAGGCACAGAACTGGAGAATGAGACAAATCCTGCAGAATTGGCTCAAGGGTGGAGCTTTGACCTGGGGAGGCGGGGTCCCAGCCATGGGGGCGGAGCCCAAACACCATAAGCGTTGGGATAGCCAGCACCAGAACACTTCCGACAGAAATAGGATCCGGAATCCTCGTCCGTGAGGCTGTTCATGGTCAGCGTCACCGAGCTCTGCCCGTTGTCCCTGGAGATCGTCACCCGGCCCCTGACGGATGAGGCGTACACGGTGGAACCACCGCTGCTGTCGATGGCTGCCAGGTATTCCAGCCCCTGCCCGCGGCTCTGGCGGACCCAGCCCATCCCAAAGTTCCCGAAATCGAACCCGGACCCTCGGCAGAGGAGGCGCAGGGACCCCCCGGGGGGCTGGAGGTCCCCCCCGGACTCCAGCAGGGTCACGGCCGCTCCCCAATTCCCAAACCATAACCCCCTGGTTTGGTCCCAAATTCCCAACAGTGGTTTCCTGCATCCTAAAGTGCCCTAAACCCTGCAATTAACACCCATCCACTGATTAATTAATTGGACACTTCTGCCGGAGCTTTCCATCCCCCCATCCCCATCTCCCCTTGTTCCCGCAGGGCTCCGGGCGGCCGTGACCCTGCTGGAGTCCGGGGGGGACCTCCAGCCCCCCGGGGGGTCCCTGCGCCTCCTCTGCCGAGGGTCCGGGTTCAATTTTGGCAGTTTTGGGATGGGCTGGATCCGCCAGAGACCCGGGCAGGCGCTGGAGTGGATCGCGGGGATCAGCAGCAGTGGTGGCACCACCTACTACGCGCCATCGTTGAAGGGCCGGGTGACGATCTCCAGGGACAACGGGCAGAGCTCGGTGACGCTGACCATGAACAGCCTCAGGGACGAGGATTCCGGATCCTATTTCTGTGCCAAATATGCTTACACTGGTACTTGGGGTGCTGATGCTGGTGCTTATGATGAAGACGCCCCTGATGGATCCCTGGCCCCACCTCAGCGTCCCCACCTGTCCCCAAACCCAGACCCTTCCCCCAAACCTCAGCCCTTGACCCTTTGTCTCTTCTCTCCCATTTCCACCAACGCTGACCAAAACCCCAAAACCCGCCTGGTTCTGCCCCAAACCCAACTGGTTTGGTGCCAAAACTTGCCCAGTTTTTCCAGAAATCTCCACTTTGGGCTCCCAGTCGCTGCCGCTGGCACAAATCCCCTGAGGCTGTTCATGGTCAGCGTCACCGAGCTCTGCCCTGGAGATCGTCAGGGGATGAAAACAGCTCAAAAATCGACCAAAATCCGCATTTTTGGCCCCAAATCCCGACCCTGGGAACTCCCCGTCCTCCCAGGTGGGCCCCGCCCCTTTTTTCAGCTGGCCACGCCCACTTGAGGCCGGCAGCCAATCAGGCGCTCCGTCCCGCCCAGCTACTTCCTGTTCCTCCTCCTTTTGTGTTTGGGTGGAAAAACGGGGATTTTGGGGTCGGCTCTTGAGTTAAAAACAAAAATTATCGATTTGTCGTTTTTTAATTAGGTGATTTTTTAATGAAATAAATTTATTTTAATCAAAGATTTGTTTTTTGTGATGGATTTTTCATTTTTTTTGGCGTTTTTTGGCGGATTTGGGGATGTGGGATTGTTTTGGTGATTAAAAATG